GGGGGGAGGGAGGGAAGTAGTGAAGGAAACTTATTTCTGCTCCTGTGAGGAAGGCTGCGATGCGGTGCACAGCCTGGGGGCGAATAGGGGGGGTGGGATCGGTGCTCGGTGTGTGCGACCCCCCCACACACACACCCAGCACCGCCGGTGCCGTCGGGGGGAAGGAGCGGCCGAGCGGCACCGGCGCTGCCTCCCGGTTGCCGATGCGCAGCCCCCGGCGGCGTCCCCGGGGGGAGCGCTGACTTCCTCCTTGCCCAAAGTGAGAGTTTATTCACGTCAGGCATTTCACAACGACACATCAAGGAAAAGTAGGCAGGTTCAAGTCAACCATGAAATGGTCACTTTTTAACCCCGTCCTGTCCTCGCTAGGGAAATGCTCAAACGCAGCCCATTTTCAAAGAGGGCTCTTAATGAGGGGAGCTTGCCAAGTCCACCAGCTGCAATTCCCATAAATTTACAAACCAAAAGAAGCAGGGGGTTGGGCGGGGGAAGGAGGGAGTCCGTACAAGACAGGTAATGTCAAAGGAAACAGCAAGAGCCCAGCGCGTTAACCCTTGCAGAATCCCTGCTGCATCCCCCCAGCCCCGTCACTGACTCCGCTCGCCCAGTTCCCTCGGATTTGCAGGGTTTGAGCAACGACCACGGGTTTTCCCTTCTACAAACCACACTGCTAAGTGACAACTTCAGAGCATACGCTTAGGCAAGAAGGGATGAGGCAAACGCGGGGTTAACCACAATGAGCAAAATTTATTTTCATATCTGGTGTAGAATACCCCCCAAATCCTATCATCTTTTTCCTTTACCCAGACACTGCAAAAAGCTGATAACGCCAGCTTTAAATACTGGAGTTTCCCTTTGAATAAATATTCAATTTAACCGGAGTTAATTTACCATAAAAGACATTCCCCTTGGCACAAATGCACCGACGTCCTTGAACACACCTCTTTGAGCGCCTGAACTCTTACACAACAAGCCATTATTGCGGACTTGATTTAAAACCGTAATAACCCCCCTCCGTCCCCCTTCTCCCTCGCACCCCTCTGCGAGGATCAGCCCCCAACACCTCATCAGCAGAGCTGTCCCTGTGAGCTGCATCGATGCGAGACACCTCTGGTCTCCCAGGCAGGGCTTGCAAAAGGCCCCGCTCCCTCCCAGGTCCTGGCCAAGGGATCCCTTTGCGCTGGAGACCTGTGCTCTGAAAGTGAGAGCCGTCCGGCAAAGTCCTGGGAACAAGGAGAAACAAGCAGGAAAAAAAAGCAAATGGAGCGTGGTTAAGGGCAGACACCAAACTGGGCACTTTCTGCAGCCCTCGCTACTGCAAGGGGTTGTGGAGCCAGGGTGAGTGAGAGTGGGTTTGCATCCCCCAGAGCAGCTGGCTGAGGGTGGGTTTGCACCCCTACCCTGAGTGTGCAAGGGGGTGCTGAGCCCAGCCAACCCTGCAGCGTGTGCCAGCACACCCCAGAATAGCACTGTTGGGGATCCCGGCCAAGCCAGACCGTCCCCCAGAGACTGGCCAGGTTCCTCATGTGAAGGCATCCTGGGGGAAATGGAGCTGCAGGGGTCAAGAAGAAGAAGACACCTTGTCTTCTGCATGAGCTAGGAGCCAAGGCTGGCATGGTGCAGGTTGCCATGGGTTTGCCTCCAGTTTGACCCAGAGGCTCCCAGTGCATCAGTGAAAGCAGGCTGAACTGGGCACCCAGCAGGCATGTGTCGGCTCTGCTCCTCCTGGTTAATCCCAGTGGGAACCCAGACAGGAGGGAGGCTTTGGCCTGGGAGAAACCTACAGGCGTGCACACACACACGTGCACAGGCCTACACCACCTCCCCCCATCACAACTTCTCCCCGTCTCCTTTCATAGGAAAGCAAGCTAAAGATCCTTTCCAGAACAGAGAAGAACTCCACTAAAATAGCGAAAATGAGCAACTTTCTATCACATCCTTGCAGAGGTACGTAGATAGGTATGCGGGGACTGGGTTGGCCTGGAGAGACATAGTGCTAATGCAGCAACGACAGCAGCCACAGTGACAGTGCCCTGGCATGCAGGCAGACCTGGTGGGAAAGCGGTTCAATTGCTTTCAAGTCCTGACTTGCATTATCTCCCCATCCCCCTAAAACTTCTTCTCTCCCCCCCCAACCCCCCGAAAAACCCCAATACTGCTGCAAGTTCTCAACCCTTCCTGCTCCAGGCTGGGGGACAGTTGCTTTTTGTCCTCCCTGCCAGAGCTACGCCAACCTCCACACTGCATCTGGAAGTTCAGCTATCATTTCAGTGCAGCCAATTAAGAAAATAGAAGTCACCACCTGACCCTTCTGGTGAGAAACACGGGGAGCTGCTCTCGGCTCCATGAGGCCAGGAGGGATCCTGCCTTCAGGCGGGGTGGAGTAGGAGCACTGAGAACACACGCACAGCTGGACACATGCACAGCACACACGGGTGCTAGAAAACTTCACGCAGAAATGCACATTTCAGGAAGAAAATGCACCTTTCACAGCAGTAAGTGGCAAATCCTGAAGCTGTGTGTGAATCACCCTCCCTGAGAGCCTGCCACCATGCTCCCCCCCCACACCCCCTATCCATGTCTCCCACCCGCTTCTGGCCAGGGTGGCCAGGATGGAGGGACATCCACATCTGAGACAGCTCATCTCAGGAAAGAAACTGAAAGGCTTTTTGACACCATGGGCAGATAGGCTCATTCCCCACCACCCGCCCCTGCTCCCCAGAGCAATTTTCCTGGTATGCCAGACTTGCCCTAGAAGCCTGTTTTTTCCCCTCTCTCCCTCACAGACAACGCTTTACAAACTTTACCAGATGCTGGCGAAGCGGCACTGACCTTGGACTTAGGTATATACTGAGCAGCACAAGTATAGGACAGTTTATGTCAACTATAGGTAACATGCAAACCATGGTGTGTTTTCATGGTGTTATCTAGCAGCGGTTCTATCTGCGCGGCTGGTCTTCACGCCTTGCAAGACTTCTCATACCATCACATTAAAGTACAAAGTTTCACATCTTTAGTATAATGAGAGCCTTGCTCAGTTTTCTTACGCACATGAGCACTGTGTGTGCATATATATATATATATGACTGTATGTATATATGTATATATATGCACAGAAAGCTGGGTAGAAAACATTTAGGGAGCAAACAACTAGTTAAATAAGCGAACGGATAATACATTGGTTTATGGGGTCTCAATACATTTAATATACAGCTGAATTGTAAGGTATGTACGACTTAAAAAGCAAACAATCACTAAAACTTCTAAGTGTAGTATCACACCTATAAACATATATATCATACTATTTTCTAGCAATTTTTTTGTTTTGTTTCTGGGTGATCCGAAGAAACACATACCATATATAAACTGTGTACATGTATGATCAGACAGAAAGTGTGCATATATACAATCAAAAGTATTGACTACAGACTCTACAGAGACACACATACACATGAAGGGTACATGCGCTTGACCCCTGTCCACATATGGTTTGATGAGGACCATAATACTTGAGCTTTCCACAGCTCCCAGACCAGCAAATGAAAACATCAAACCTCAAGTGTAAAGCTGTAAACCACAACGTTTTGGGTTACACAACTGTGCAGCTTTTGTCCTCACTGCGGGTCACATTCTCAGCCTTACAAAAGCATGAAACCCTCTTACCCCAATACAGTAAATTCTTTAAAATTTCACATTTGCTGATCTTAAATGCCCTGGACATAAACAGCAATAGTAACAACAGTAAAATTT